GGGTAGGAGATATAGAGAGAAAAGAAGCGGGCCTAAAACTGAACCCTGTGGGACCCCACATTGAAGAGAAGCAGCAGAGGATACAAACTCCCCGAGTTTCACAGAGAAAGTTCGCTCTGCCAAACAGGATCTGAACCACTGCAGTGCGGCACTGCTAGCACCCACCAACTGCTCTAAACAGGAGATTAAAATATTATGATCCACTGTATCAAAAGCAGCAGTTAAATCTAACAGCACGATAATAACACACCTGAGTCATTTGCCAAAAACACATCATTAAAAACTCTTCAAAGGGCAGATTCGGTACTATGTAAAGCTTTAAAACCAGATTGGAAAGCTTCTAAAATACCGTGTTCTTCTAGGAAGGACATTAATTGCTTATAAACTACCTTTTCAAGAATCTTTGAGATAAAAGGCAGTTTGGAAATAGGTCTGTAATTCGCAATAATATCAGGATCAAGAGCAGGTTTCTTGAGTAGAGGCTGAATCACTGCATGTTTGAGATTGACAGGTACAATGGATTGTACAGCTGATGCTATAGTGAGTTTATCCGCTGCTCATTCGACATGACGAACGACTTCTGAAGTCTGAATTCAGCTCAAGATGCTGTAGATTCCCGTCAGTAACACTTTCGGTCCGCTAGTAAAACGTAGTTCTATTAATCTGCGCTCGAACCGGAACCGGATGTAAGTTCCAAAAAACTGAATTGTAGAACTGAAACTGAACGGTGAGAAGTGAAACTGAAATTATTCGACAGCTAAATTTTTAAAGGATAAAATGCAGTTTCAAAGCAAATGAATTCATTTTCAAAATATAAAATCCAATTTCAGTTTAGTGTTGATCATTTTCAAACCAATAAATTGAATTTCAAATTAGACTAATTGAAATTCAGTTTTCAAAAGCATTTATTCAGGTTACAATTCAGATTCAATCTGAGCAATTCAAATTCAAATTTAACTTATTCAAATTCAGTTTGTGATGGCACAGATTTCTGCCCACAGTTTCTGGGTGTTGTACGGCTGTGAAGCTCGACACAGCTCATAAAGCTCTGCTGTCTGTGACCGCCCAGCACGTTTCCATGGTACCATTTAAAAACAAAAATACCAAATCACATTTTTCACCTCGCTTTAACCTGGTTTAATCAGGCGGACATGTTTTGTTGTCACTGCTTAGCTAGCGTTTCGTTAGCATTGCTCGTTAGCAGTGAGCGCAGCCACGTTTGGGATAAACGTGTAAAAACTTGACTCCTGAGAGCAGATCTGCTCCTCCTGAGCGCCCTCCGGTGGCACCTCTGAGTACTGCCTGGCACAGTTAAGTACCGCCCACGACCCACCCCGGAGTGAAGCAGAGAGGCGGAAGCGTGATATGATTCTTTTATTTGTTTGCTGTCTGATGTCACTGTGACATCAGCACGCAGGAAACCGCTGCCATACAAAACACAATCAGCTGAGACGACAGACAGACGACAGGTTCACTCGTTAAATAAACGCCGAGCCGCTCTGGGTGACCCCTCTCCCCGCAGAGTTCACAGCCAATCAGCTTGCAGCAGATCACCTGAGCAGCAGGTGAGAGTTCAGAGAAGAAAAAGTCCTCCGGTCCGCTCTAGACGCCGATTAGCTGCTGCGACACATCATAATGGAGGGGGCGTGGTTATGTCAGTGGTGGGTACGGTCAGTAAGCAGTGGGTGGAGCGTCACAGGTAACCCTCCTTCTTGAACTGCTCGTGCAGGATGTCCCGGTACTCATCGAAGCCGCC